AACGCTCAGGAAGGGAATGTTACTGTAGGAAATGAAAGCGATTAACAGCTGTTTGTATTACGGGGATTGTTTGGCCTCTTTAATATCCCTACCCAAAGATGCATTATTTGTTGAGCAACCCCAAAAGGAAATCAAAGCGAAACTTAAAGAACCTTGCTAATCCTTTGTCACTTTCAGCATGACATTTAAAAGCTGGCAAAAACCTGTGCTTTGCCAATCAAAACAAAAATATTACCTTCCCCGTGGCCCTGGCTGCTCCATTCCAGCCCAGCTGACAGCGCTGGTGTCTCTCAGCCAAACATGGGCTACAGGAGCACTGCAGGGCTCAAGAGGTGGGTCTGCTGGTTTTATCCCTGCAGAGCATCAGCTCCTCCTCACCACAGCATGGCCACCAGCCCAGCCAGTGGGCAGCCACACGCTGGGCCATGTCCCCAGGGAACAGGACCAGGAGATGCTCCCCATGGGCAGCATCGCTTCTACAGCAGCGAGGGTCAGGGGGGACAGTGGGGGCAAGAGTGACAAACAGCATAGCCAGCTGGGTTTGATCTGTTAATCGTAGAATTGTCCAGGTTGGAAGGGACCTTTCAGATCATCAAGTTCAACCATCAACCCAACACTGACAAACCCACCACTGACCCGTGTCCTTCAGCACCACATCTGCCTGGCTTTCTAATACCTCCAGGGATGGGGACTCCACCAAGGTAATATCTCCAGGGATGGGGACTCCACCAAGGAACGGGATTTCACTACGTGATTCAAGGGGACTGATTTTCCTGAGCCCAAAAGTCTCTTCTGGCCTGATTTCACCCTGACGCTAATTAGTTCTACTTTATTAAAGACTTCAACCGCAAACTGCAGCTGCTGAAAGAAACAGCCACGTGGCTCCTACCAACCCTCTACTGAGACTTGTAAAAACAGAAGAAAAGAAAAAGGATGTTAAAAATATCAAGCAAAATCTAAAGTTGGAACAGAACTGGCTTTTATCTGTTTCAGTCAAAAGTGAGTTCACTAGATACAGTAGTATTTCTTTGAATGGAACAAATAAACCTCAAAGATTTTATAATGAATACCCTTTCTACACTTTTCTACAAAGCAGCCTATAAAACCAGGAACCAGAGATGTCATTCTCAAACACACACCACAGGACACTTTTCTCACAACCCCAATAACAAGGTATCATCTTCTATTCCATCCCATTTGGCTTTTCCAAAAGGAACTGTAAAAACCTCTCTTAAAACCCTGGCACCCACATATATGATAGGAATCCCAACCCTGGCTCTGCCAGAGCAGAATCTCCCCCTTCAAGAATAAAGCCTTGGGAGGAAAAAAAAAAACCCAGCGTGTTGGTTTTGTTGCTGAGCCAGCTATTTAACTCCAGCAGCCAGCAGAAACAAAGGGAAAAACAAATAAAACTATAAAGCGCATGTTCCTTTTGGACAAATAAGCCAAAACTCTTGGAAATTTATGGCTCTACAGCATCCCTACCTGATAAGTCATACAGAAAGCTGCGGCTGCAGATATCAGTGATCACGTAAATAAATTTTATTATGCTGTACAACACTAGTACAGTTACACACACTAATCATGGGAGAAGGGGAGGTTGCTATTTTTTTCCTGTCCCATATGGTAATAATTTTGTATGATTGAACTGTTATGAGCTAAATAAAACTACACATTAACTGTAAGATACATTGCAAAAACATTAAATCTTCCCTGGAGTTTTAGCAAATACTTGCTTTTTCTATGATGCATTTGGAATTAGCAAAGGAATCTACACTGGGCCATAGGATTTATAAATAGATTTGGCTCCCTCTGCTATACTTTATGGGCAATTATTTCAGAAATGAAGATGCAGAGCCACAAATAAATAAAATAATTGCAGCTGATCAAGCTTTATTTACGGCTATCCCATCTCCCTGGCTGTCAGGCCTCCCTCCTCCCATCTGCTCCATGAGCCCGACCCGACGGGCAGAGGAAGAGCTGCCAGTTAATGTCAAACACGGAGCACAAAAGGTGCCAAAGGCAGATCCTGGTTTCCCCATTTCCAAACCCTGCCTGGCCCTTCCTGGAGCTCCTTGTGCCCTGGATAAAGTCAAGGTGGAACCAGGAGGCTGGGAAAGGGCAGAGCAAGCCTGATGGTTCTGCAGGTCTTCAAGCAGTGTGCCAGGGAGATTCTTTTGCTGTCACCCCCCTGCAGAAGTCCCTGCCAAGCTCTGGAGACCTCCCCTGCCCAAACAGGCAGGAATTCTGTTGGGAAGCTGCTGAGAACAGCTATGTAGAGCATACATACAATCTGCTCCGAAAAGCCATGGAGCTGAGAACACAGAACAACTGTGTTCAGAACAACTGAAACACATGGGACGCACCACATGGAGACATCCTGACTATCCACCAAGGGCTTCCTTCAGTGACCTGACTTCAAAAGTAGCCACCAGGATGATATTTTATGGTCCTCAAATTAAAATACTTAGAAAAATATGTCCTTTACATCACCAGTTCTGATGACCAGCGATGTCTGGCCCTGATCTGGGTACCTTCCTGACCCGGGAAGGTGCAGGCAGCTTTGTGAAGTCTGGAGCAGGAGAGTACCCTACAGAAAAGAGAGGGCACCAGAAACAGACTGGAAGGTGTCCAGGGCCTGAAGAAGATCCTACAAGAAGTCTCATAGCTTTAGAAGTCTATTTTGGTTGGTTTTTTTGTAGTTCCAGGCTGCTTATTTTTGTATTCTGTGATTCTGTGATTCTATAAAGAAATGATGCTGCAAACCTCTTCCAGAACTTCATCATCAACAGCCCACAAGGTGGTGAGAGAAGCTGATGGGACCAGACGCCAAAGGAGCCAGGCCTTACAACAGCCGAGCATCCGGCTCCCTCCTCACTGTTACCAACATGAAGACAAATGCTCACAAACACCCTTATTCAAAATCACTAACGTGAAGAAATGATGCTGCAAATCTCTTTCAGAACTTCATCATCAACAGCCCACAAGGTGGTGAGAGAAGCTGATGGGACCAGACGCCAAAGGAGCCAGGCCTTACAACAGCCGAGCATCCGGCTCCCTCCTCACTGTTACCAACATGAAGACAAATGCTCACAAACACCCTTATTCAAAATCACTAACGTGTTTGGCGACGCTCAGCACAAAGGCAGCCGTGGCCCCGGTGCGGAGTGGTGTGAGGGAACAGAGCTGCCCAGGGCTCTGACACTGCTCTTCCCAGCGCTGCATTTAATGCAGTGAGAAAACAGGGTGTTGCTGCCCTTCAAATCAAGCAAAGGGAAGGATTAAGACATCATCATTTTATGCTATTGTTCTAGCGGATGGTCGTAATTGCCTCTACACAGGAGTGTGGCTGCACCTCTGCTGCCATCCATCTTCTTGCCAAGGCCCTGTGTGTACAGTAGGAACGGTAAACTTTTGATTTGACCTCATTAGCATTCCCAGAATTACAATGTCACACCAATGATAAAGACTGAGATTATCTGCCTCTCGGCAAATGGGGAAGAAACAAATCAGACGCCGCGCGAAAAGCCCACAGCACAACCACAACTGTGCTGAACACCTGAAGGCAGCTCCGACCCAGCTGGCTCCTGATTTTCACCCTTTACATTAAGAATTGTGCCTCTATCACCAAATCTGCAGATACAGGGGATGGATCCATGAGTGTCTGAGCACTCGGGGAGAGGGCAGAGAGGGGAAGGTGTTGGAGTAGATGCTCTCTGAACCGCCTTCCCTCTGACTCACCACTATCTCCTGTGCTGCCTCTCGCTGCTCCCAGGCCCCCAGTGATCCACGAGAAATTTTGTGCAATTTGGGAAACAACAGAGAGGCACTTGGCCTTCACACAAACGCCATGTGCTGCCTGGAATTTCATAGGATTTCCTTGTGGTTCCCCAGACAAACGCACACAGGGAGGGCTCCTGCTCAAACGGGGCTTGAAGGAAAAGTAGGACCCACTCTTTGGCCCTTCTGGCAGTCAGGTCACACCACACCAACCCTGTGCGTGTCTGTCAGATCACACCACGCCAACCCTGTACGTGTCTGGGGTCGGTCTACAACGAAATCCATAGTGAAACAGGGGATTTCTTAGTCTCACCCCTGAGCTGGGCTCCCCACTACGGCTGTAACACAAAGCCAACACAGCCTCCAAACCACTCCTTCTCGGTTACTTTAGTCTTTTATGGACCATCTTGGAGGAAATTAACAGAACTTCCCTACAGTGGGAGCAAAAGAAGGAAATGAATTTATTACTCCAGTGGTACCCTTGACACAGATACTGAGTAGCTCCATTAAACATTTTGCAGCCCCGAGTGTCTTTGCTAAACCCTCCACGATACGCACAGAGCCGTTTCCCCTACTACAACACAAACACACAGGTCAGGATTCAGAGCTCATCTACATCTGCTTTGTATCTGAAAAACTTCCCTCATCTCAATGGGATCTGGGCAGGCACAAATCAAGGCTGCATCATCCCATCCTTCCCTTTCTCTCTGCATTCATTACCTTGCAGCACCAGCCTCGCACAGACTTGTTTCCACAGAGTCAGCATAGCCACAGCCAAATGACTAATACAACCCTTTAATACAAACAGCAATAAATCAATGGATTAAATTATAATTTATCAGACAAATACTATTTAGTCTTCCCAAAGCTGTTCTGAAGCATCTCTCCTGTTGGCCACATTCCAGAGGAGCACTGACACCAGATAAAGTTTACACAGGAAAGAAATGCTGAAAACATCCTGTATTTATGAGGGGAGATTTCACAGAGATGGGGGTGAGGAACATTCCTGAGAAGTCTGCAACGTATCCAAAGCCCTGGGTTTTTCTCCCAAAGTCCACTCCAACAGGGCAAGGTTTCCACAGCCCCGAAGTTCTACCCTCAGGGGAAACCAGACACACAAACCTCAAGAGATGCTACAGCCAACTTTTAACGGCTTCAAAACCAGCAACAGGCTATTCCACCGCAATTTCACTCTACAACATAGCCTTTTTTGTACTTACTTCATGGGTTTGAACAATGCTTGTCCATAGTTCTGGAACGTCATGATCAGCTTCAGCTGGGTGCCTCCTGATTTCATCGCTGTGGGGAAAAAACAAAACCGCTTTAAAATGCAGCATGTGGATCTACTTACACTCAGCTTCCTCGAAATAAAATCATTTATCTTTTGCTTGGTGTTAGAGTCAGCACTGCGGTATCTGAGCACCAAGCAGGGTAATCCTAACTGGAGAACAGATCCTTCAGTGGGGGCAGAGCATGGGGAGGGCTTTGAGCTGCCGACCAGGACTGGAGAGGGATGGTACTCCCTGACGTGTCTGTCTTCTTTAACTGGCCACAGGCAGGACCAAGATGGGCTCCCTAAGAACCCAGCTGAAGAGCATGTATAGGAACAGACTGTCACAGTCCTGTTTTCCCCGTCTCCCAGGTGGGTTTGAAAGTCTCCAGAGAAGAAGACTCCACCACCTCTCTGGGCAGCCTCTTCCAGGGCTCTGCCACCCTCACAGGAAAAAAGTTCCTCCTCATGTTGAGATGGAACCTCTTGTGTTCCAGTTTGTGCCCATTCCCTCTTGTCCTGGTTGCCACTGGGACCAGCTCTGCTCAAACATCAAACACCCTCACTTCACCCTCAAGAGCTAACGGGAACCTAAGATGGACACTTATTCACAACCAGTCTGAGTGATTTGGACAGCATCATGTTAACAGCCAGATTATAGTTTCTAAAGTCAAAGTGATTTTTTTTTTATACAAGAATTCATAAAAATGCATTTTACTTGATGATAAGATTACTTAATAGAGATAAATATGTACTTTGGCAAACCAGCTGCTTTTCTCAATCAAAACTGCCCCCAGTAAGTGAAATGACCCCAACCCTGGCTCCTGGATTCCCTTCTGTGCTGGGAGAGCGGGGCCATGGCAGCCGTGTCTGTGTGGGTGAGTCAGCCCTTGAAAAACGCTTCCTAGGAATGATCAGATAATCAATCCCTCTCTCTACAGTTCTGACAAAACCCATGTCAACTGGAGAACTACACAAATGTCAAGTTACCTTGCTCTGCAAATTTTGGCTTAGAGCTGCCCTCGTTCTACCTACAGAGCTTGTACATTTTTTTCTCTAACCAACACCATTATCTGCACATCCTTTTAATTATTCATCTCTGTGCCTTATTACTGACAGGTCATCAGCTCTCTTTCAGCGCTTGTAATCTATATTTTTGCAAACAAAATGCTATGCAAATCTGGTCAGTGTAATTACACTTCTCCTAGAATAAAATCCCTCCTGCCTTGCTGTTTTTCTGACCCCAGCCTTCTCTTGCATTTCCAGTTTATCCCAAAGGAACAAATAAATAATTAGAAATTAGAGGGCATTAAATAACTTGCACTGAACAGGTAAAGCAGAAGCACGGGGCTTTCACAGATTGAACTGCCTCCCTGGTGCAGATGGGGCCGGTTGATCTGCCCCAGAGGGCAGAAGGGGCAGTAGGAGCCCATGAGGGCCACCACAAGCTCCATGGCTCACCCAGAGCTTGAAGGCCAGGAGAAGCAGCAGCTCTCCAGCTGAAGACCTACGAGTGCTGCCCTGGGACCCTCACAGCACAGCTCTGTGTTTGGGGACCCTCAGGTTACCATGGCTGGCCCACAGGCCAGCCCAGCCCAGCCCCACTGCCCAACCTGCCCTTGGGGCGCAGGGTTTGCTTGGCTCGTTAAGGCCTGGCCTGGAATTTCATCCCTCTTTGCTTGGGGTAATTCCACCCCTCTTTTGCCACCACACAGGCCAGTAACACCGGCCTCAGCACCCCAGGGCAGAATCACCTCCATTTTCTCTGGTATTACTCTCCCCAGCCCAGCAGCCTCAACACAGCAGCTTCCAGACTGCTTCCACCAACCGAAGACCAGTTTTTCTCTCCATTTTCTCTAAAATTTATGTCATTTATGCTGCTTCATTAAATTCTGAGGAGCTCAAGACTTAGAGCTTGGCTCCCTCTCCTCTATGGGACACGTACATTCAAAATATAGCCAAGATCCTGTAAGCTCATCAGAGAAAAGGGAAGGATAGAGCCGATTTTGAGGTCCGGCTGGGAAGCCAAGTGTTTGGGAAATGATCTCAACATGAAGAAGAAAAAAAAGCGATGTTCCAGCATGTCCTTTTCTAGGCACAAAGTTTCAGATAGACTAAGAGAGCTGGTTTCTCAGCAAATTGAAGCCACTCGACAGATAATGATTTTGTTAGCAGCTGAACTCAACAATGAGCGTGTCATCACCAAGCAGGGAAACGTATGAAGAAGATTAACAATTCAGAATAATTCTTCCATGAGACACAAAGGCCTGGTTTCCTGTCAGAAGGAATTGAGTTGAAGTAAGACAAAAGCATCTCCCTGCTCTTTCTAGATCTGTGTTATTGTATTGCCTTAATTGGCTACAATAGGAGCCTCAACCAAACACAAGTTTTGCTGAAACGTTGTCCCCCCACTGCTGTGAGGAGTAAACTTTGGGCACTGGGGACACCCTTGGGGTGGCAATGCCAGGAAAGAGCAGGACTCACTGGAGATGACTCCCTCAGACCTCTACATCAGAATTATTCCCTTGGCCTAACTTAGCGTTACATCTCCCCACTGGCTCCCCTCTCATTTCTGAGCTGTATTCATTCAGGAACTCCCTTTTCTGCTCAGACCTCAGTTAAACGTGTCCCTCTGGCCATTACAGCCAAAGAGTGGGAGACCTATCATCCTCCAGAAACTCATCCCCAACAAACATTGTTTGCTTATCTGGAGGTGCCCTTATCCCTTCACCTACCACCCACAGGAACCTTCCTCAAGAATTTCTAATATTCAGAAGCAACAAATAAAATTTTCCAAGAAACAAGAGGATGCTACCCCATCACAGCCTGTCACATCCACAATCAGCAGGCTGAGGAATCTTTAAGAAGGTCTTGCAACCTAAGGCTGACTCCAAGGGAAACTCCAGCCGCACTCTGAATTCACCTAATTTTTTTTTTAAGGTTTCTGAATACACTGTAACACCACAGGTCATGAACAGCTCTGTAAAAGGCTTTATAAACCTGCTAGCTCCCAGCAGGTACTTCAAATCAAGTCTCATACAGCTCCTGGACGTACTGGGACAGCGTTAAAAACAAATTCCAACACAACCACTAGTTCTTATCTTCAGGCAACTCAAGTCGCTCTTTTCCCCCCAAAGTAGAAGGGAATGGAAAGCAGCACTAACCTCTCCTGTTAACCCCGTGCAAGGCCTTTCGGGTGTGAACAGAAATCTTCTGAATTTTAGGAGGCTTTGCAAAAAATTCCCTGAGATATCTTTTTGCTTGAGTGCCTGCAGGATTAGAGTCCTGTCCAAAGACCAGTGAAACTGGTGGGATTCCTTCTGTTTTCTCTGATGGACTTTGGATCAAGCCTCCAAAGATCCCCGATCCATCTCCATCTAGGAGCTTGTTGTCAGGGCCACGTGCCGTGTCTGCTACATCCCCACCTTGTCCCCCCACAAATAAAAGACGTGAATTTCCCCCCTGATCCACCGACATCATCCAATACAAAAGATGCGCTCCCTGTCATCTCTCAAGCATTATTTTAGAACTGCATGTCACAGGGTTTCTGACTCTCTCTTCTAAAGCCTCTGGTATCAACTCTAGTCGAGACTCAACGTTGCGCAAAGGGTTTTGACCCAAAAGCATATGGGATGTGAACTGGTTTGGCGTTCCAGTTTTTTGTTTGTTTGGTTTTTTCCTAGTTTTCCTGCAGGACAGCCCACATCCTCCTGGCCTGGCTGGACCATGTGGTCTTCTGATGGAGAACAGGAGTCCCAACAGGACCTCTGAACCTCGCTTTTGGTCAGAATCCAACAAACATTTTAAAATGCATTTAATCATGCAAAGCCGATGCCTGAGAAGTGAGATCCAGTCAGAGCCTGGGATGCAGGAACATCTGAAACGGAGGATGTTCAGATCCATTTTGGATTGCTATTTATAGATCAAGCTTAAATCTAACATAAACATGTTGATTGGCTTTAACAAGCAATGCTCTGCCCCAGGGTAGAGACACAGCCCTGTTCAAGCTGTAAAGAACAAATTTCAAAACAAATTCAAGCCCTCATCATCTCTTAATTTGCTCTTGTTCAGCCAATTCTCCTGACTTTTTTCTAAAGGCCTTTCTTGGTTTAGTCAAGACAGTAAAAGACTTTTGGAGGGGAAGAGATCTGTGCAATCGTTTGGAGGCTTTGTTGTACATTTTAAGTCCCCTCCTTTCATTTGGAACTGTAAATCAGTCTGTTGACTCCTGGCAGATTCATTGTTTTCTCATACAGTAAATCAATGCTGATACATTTCATTATGTTTTTCACACTTTTTCAACAGCGCTTTTCCCCTTCCTTTCGATGAGATTTTTATAATTTCCTTTAGCACCAGAATTTAGGTTCAATATTAGGCATCTTGTCTTTTTCCTCCTTTTTATTTCCCTGACTTGAAGCAGAGTCCACCTGACTTAATTGCTGCATTTATTCGCTGCGTGAGTAATCTCGCCTGCCTGCCTTCTAATTACCGCCTGCACAAACTGAAGGCATCGCAGGCTCCGAAATGAACTCAGGCAGGTAATGTTTTCAAACCTGGAGATTTCAAGAATCAGAAAATAAACCCCAGGTAAAGGCAGGACTGACAAACTCCCCCCTCTCCCCTGGCACAGCCCCTCGGACAGCAGGACTGAGACCACGCTGCCTCGACAACCCACCGGCCCGTGTCTGCCGTTAAACTGCTGACAGCGCTGCCGCAATTATGCACAGACGTCCTGTAAATATGCAAGAAAATAAGCTAACTATGGTTATTTATGCCTGCAATAAACAGTTCTGAAAGGCAGAGGAAATGTGCAATTGCCTGTGCATGTGCTGCTCCTGAAAATTGGGTTTCAGCGCTCAGTGGAAAAACAATTCTCTCTTGGCTCCTATTTATGGCAAGAGGAAATTTTCAGTGAATTAAATCAAATTAAGAGCTATCCCTTTATGCTGAACAAAATGAATAGGAAATATATCTATCCATGCAGGGCAGAGAACACATCCTGCGCCCGCACGCCCTGGGTAACCCTGTCCTTTCCAAGGCCAGCTCTAGGTGTCAGTGTGGGAGCTGAGTGTGACGCTCCTTCCCCTCCCTGCATTTGTTCCATTTAAACTTTAACATCAGAAAAATGTCACCTTGGTGCTCCCTGCTCTGGGGAATTGCTTCTGTCACCGTTTTCATTTTAGAAATCACGCTGCAGGTTACAGAGCGGTGTGAGGGGGTCTGGCGGGTGGCGGGGATCAATCTGGGCACCGCTCTCCCCCACCAATAATGCAGCCCAGCACAGAAATTACAGCGGGGCTACGAAAGCTGGTTAGCTGCACTTTGGGTCTAATTACTGGAGGTATCAAGAACCCGCACAGCAAATCACCTCATTCCATTAGAGCCAAAGCAAATCTGAACGCTGGGAAAAGACTGGATAAAGCAATATCCCATTTCATCTAACGCATGTAAGCCTCTACATTCCATTGTCCTGCTTGCAAAAAGAAGCCTGAAGACTGGGCATTATGAAGGTTTCCATTTATTTTATACTTCTAGCCTGGCAACAAAAAGCAAAAGAACAAAAAACGACCATAAGGGAAAAAAACCCCAGACAAACAAGAAGACTTGCAGGAATATGCAAAAGAATGGAACAGCCCTATAAATGTCCCTTGGTCAAATATATTGCTCTTTATTAATCAGCTTACATGCTTTTGAATCCCTGCTGCTGCTCTGCAGTAAAGCTGAAAACTGGCAGGTATTATTTTAAAGCATGTATTTTTAAACACCCAAAGAATTTGCAACACAAAATAAGAAATGCTGTACTGTGTAATATATATATTAAAAAAAAAGTACAATAACAATAGGCTCTTTCTTGCTTTGCAACCTGACAAAGCTCCTGAATCCCCCCAGGGGCGGGCAGTGGATGCTACCAGCAAAATTCAGATCCCGGCATCTCTACAAGGGCGAGAGTCCCCTTCCACGGCCATTTCCCTTGATTTTAGACTGGGATTTATGTGTAGAATCATTCCCTGTCAGTTCCCACAGCAGCCGATACCAAATGCACCTCATCTTTTAGTTGATGGGAATTATCCTGGATCATTGCTAGAAACCGTGGCTCTGTGTTTTTGTGAGGGGCACAAGGGGCCTCTCCGTGCTCTGAAGAGCCTTGTTCAAACATTAACAGAGAGACAATCCCGTAGGAAATCGCTAATAACGCCCATAAATCTTCCTCTGTGGTCCCGTGGCCCTTTCCCCCCCGTCGATCTGAAAGCTCTATCAAAATCATAATTAATGGAAACCTCATGACACACCTATAGGACACATTAGGTGAAATCATGGCCCCAGGGAAGTAAATGGCAAAACTTCCCCTTACGTCACCCGGGTGAGGGTTTCACTCCTGTTTTCCATGATAACCATTTTGCTGCCAGGTTACCGGCAGCACACAGGGGTTAAGCAACGTGCCCAGAAGCACCAGTGAAGATCGTGCCCAGAAGATGAAGGGAAGAGTGTGCACTAAACTCTGATTTCTCATTCCTACCTCCCTCCTTCTCCCACCAGCTTCTACATCCCTGCAGCAACCTTAACTGTCCCACTGCTTTGCAGAAATGACAGATGCCACGGCTCGAACGCTGCTGCGTCTGCTGCAAACCCTGCTCTCCTGCATAGACAACATGGCTGAGCTTGGAAGAGTTGACCATAAAATCATAAAACCATAGAAGATTTGGCTTGAAAGGGACCTTAAAGCCCCCCCAGTGCCACCTCCTGCCCTGGGCAGGGACACCTCCCACCACACCAGGTTGCTCCAAGCCCCCTCCAACCTGCCCTTGAACCCCTCCAGGGATGGGGCAGCCACAGCTTCTCTGGGCAACCTGGGCCAGGGTCCCACCACCCTCACAGTATCAATGCACCCAGCAGGCACGTGCTACAGAACACCACCATGGCCAATGCCTGTTGTGCAAACCTCAGCGGATGGTTTAGTTGAGCACCAGCCCTGCACAGAGCCGGGGGCAGCTGGGGGCACCACCTCTCTCTGTGGGGACAGGGAAGGGACAGGCTCCATCTTTTCCTCCTTGATGGATGTGCTCAAGGAGCAACGTCAACAACCGGGTTACGAAGTGGTGGCTTGATCCCCATTGACACGTGTCACTAATATCCCAGAAACGGGCGGGTGTTGATGAGAGAATTCAGGAAAGGTGAGGGCTATGTCAAGGAGGGCTATATCACCCAGGCCATGTCCCTCATCACCCTCCAACACAGACCAGAGGAGCACGGGCAGAGCCTGCTACCTGCGGTGTCACCACTGAGCCAGAGAAGGGACAATACATGGAATCATAGAATTGACCAGGTTGGAAGGGACCTTTCAGATCATTGAGTCCAACCATCAACCCAACACTGACAAACCCACCACTGACCCATGTCCCTCAGCACCACGTCTGCCCGGCTTTGAAATCCCTCCAGGGATGGTGACTCCACCACTGCCCTGGGCAGCCTCTGCCAAGGCTTCACAACCCTTTTGGTGAGGAAATTCTTCCCAATATCCAACCTAAACCTCCCCTGGCACAACGTGAGGCTTAACTGCCAAACCCGATCTCTGTAGTGAATCACTCCAATCTAGAGTTCTGGGGTCAGAAACCCCAGGTTAATAAATGAGCCTGTGTTTATTGTCTTTCATGAGAGTTGCTGCTGGACCCTGGGACCCAGGACATGGGGTGGCACCTGGGTCCCACGCAGCGCTGTACGCCGAGGCCAGCCCCCCAGCAGGGCTGTGTGCCCAGCACATCCCTGCAGCTCTCCTCTGCCATCCTGCTTTTCACACCTCCATCCACATCAGCCCCACCAGCCCACTTCTCCTGACCGAGGACCCCCCCAACTCCTGCCCAGCAGCTGCTGTGACCCACACGAGGGACAATGGGCACCTCAGCGCTGCTGGTGCTATTCCTGCCACCCCAAACAAGGGAATTTTTGCCTCCCAGGGTTAAAACCCTGCTGAGCTCATCCCACCCTCAGGAACTGACTTAGCGACTGCCTGGTCAGCGCAAATAACTCCATTTTCTGTGCAGTCGATGGGAAGGGCTGGCTCTGCTGCAGGTTCCTGGCTCAAAAAACCCAGGGGGTGCATTGGCTCAGTATCCCAGAGTGTTCCCTTGGGGTTGTGGGCTTTTTTTCCCTGCACAGCTAAATTCAAGGAGACACACGCTGCCATCAGGCCCCGGAGAAAAGCCCTGAACCGTGTCACCTTGTTTAATGGGAGCCACGGGCCGTGCATCCCGGGGTGCATCCCAAGCGGAACAGCGGGAGCCGCCAGGCCCTGCCTTCCAACAACCCCCAGCACAACCCCAGCTCCAGCAAGGCTCCTTCTGCTTTCTGACATCCTTTTTCTTAATTATCATATTTATTTTTAAGACCCGAACAGGGCACTTTCAGCCCGACCGTGACTTAAAGACCCGGCGCTTGCCTCGCTGGCCGACTTCTCAGTTATTCAGGTACCAGAGAGCTGGCAATATCTCCTTCTGTTTAACAGGGAAAATGAGCGCGGCTGTGGGGAAGCGATGCTGGAGGCACAGCGGGGAGCAGCCGTGCAAAATATTAATATTCAAATGGCAATGACACCCTGAACAATGAGCAAATAATCACCAAAAAAAAATGAGATAAATCCGGACATACCGACGCTGGTTATCTTCTGGGAGACCAGGTCTTGCAGTAAAGCCTCGATCGCAGGGTTATGCCTGGAATACAGCTCGTACCGATTAATGCCAATGTGGAATTTTAACCAGTTTGGGTAGGAGTCTATGGTGGTCTCTCCAGTTGGCAAAAATTCTTCATTATCTTCATTTTGCCTATCACCAAAAAAAAAAAAAAAAAGAAAACAACAAAAAAAAACAAAATGAGGAAAAAGAAATGACAATACAGCTTGTAACAGGCATCAAGAAATAGGGCTTCAAAATGTGGCACCCCGGAGAGGCACAGCAGGATGCAAATGAGGAAAGAGAAATGACAGTACAGGCTTCAAAACGTGGCACCCCGGAGAGGCACAGCAGGATGCAGCAGGGAGAGTCCCCGGCTTGTCCCTGCACCCACCGGTCTGGGGGGAGCTGCATCCCCCCTCCCCTCCTCACTCTGCATTTAAAGCCCGTGGAAATCAGGAGCAAAACCTGGCACGACATCTCCAAGGGGCCCTTTCGGAGCAGAAACACAGAGCTGTGCTTTGTGCTGTGTTGAGGCTGGAGTGTGTCACACACATCGTGCACCCAAGGGCCAGCATCACCCTGCACCTCTGTCCCGGGGGGCCGTGGGGCTGGGAGCACGGTGGTCCCCAGTGCCCCTGCAGCACGGTGGTCCCCAGTCCCCCTGCCCAACGTCCCCAGCTCCTGCTGCTCCTGGTCCCCTCCTCACTCCGCATTTAAAGCCCATGGAAATCAGGAGCAAAACCTGGCCCGACATCTCCAGGCTCAGCAGGGGCCCTTTCGGAGCAGAAACACGGAGCTGTGCTTTGTGCTGTGTTGAGGCTGGAGTATGTCACACACATCCTGCACCCAAGGGCCAGCATCACCCTGCACCTCTGTCCCGGGGGGCCGTGGGGCTGGGAGCACGGTGGTCCCCAGTGCCCCTGCAGCACGGTGGTCCCCAGTCCCCCTGCCCAACGGCCCCAGCTCCTGCTGCTCCTGCTCCCATTGAGGGGAGGAGAAGAATCCGGGTCACCCTGAGCTCCCTCCGGGTGGGTTTGCCCCTTCCCCAGCAGCAGGACACTGTTACAGAGAATAATGGTTAAAACGACATGTAACTGATACATTTCATGGTGAACTTTGGCTGCAGCCCCTCAGGAAAACAGGTATAAGAGGCAGCTGCGCCGTGGGCATCACTGATCATTTCACTCTTCACCTACTGCTTACGCTCTCACAGACCCTCGATCCCAAAGCCCTCCGTGCTTTTAGCCACCTCCAAATCTCAGCACGTTTGTGACTCCTTTTTTCTTTTTTCCTTTTTTTTTTTCTCATTTTGGTGAACTTTGGCTGCAGCCCCTCAGGAAAACAGGTATAAGAGGCAGCTGCGCCGTGGGCATCACTGATCATTTCACTCTTCACCTACTGCTTACGCTCTCACAGACCCTCGATCCCAAAGCCCTCCGTGCTTTTAGCCACCTCCAAATCTCAGCACGTTTGTGACTCCTTTTTTCTTTTTTCCTTTTTTTTTTTCTCTCAGAGGAACCAGAACTTTTTCAGGGTATCTCACCCCACGGTTTTGCTAATTAAGTGGAAAGGGCCTGGACAATTCACAGGCTGGAGGGGCGGCCATCAGCAATATTCCTCCTCTTTTTCCCTGGGGGCTCTGCAGAGAGAGCTCTGGGGGGGCACCAGGCAGCAGAGGAGCCGTGCGGGTGCCGGGGCCGGGAAGAGGGTGCTGTTGGATCAGACAAGCCTTTCCCTGCCCATTTCTCAGGCAGTGGGAATTTCTCAGCGTTTCCTACGAGCCAGGAGGGCAGGGGATTCATGGGGGGGGCTCTGAGGGCCACAGAGGGGCGAGAGCGTTAACGGAGGGTGACGGAGCACCCAGGGCAGACCCCAAGGGCAGAAATCCCCGCGGGGGTGGACAACTCTGGGACCCCAGCCCCTGCTTTTCAGCAAAGTTAATGCTTTACTGGGCTCCTGCTCAGGCGGGTACAGGGGGGGATCACCCTGCACCCCCCAACCCCTCGCACCCCTCTTCTGGTGGCATCTGCCTCTGCCTGCGGCCGGAGAGGGGACATTCACCCTTGGGGCTCCAGCCTTCTCCTCCTCCTGTGCTTATTCTGTATTTCATAGGGGTTTTATTTTAGTATTTTTGAAGGAACGCAACCGGCCAGGCCTGTGTCCCCGGTTCCTCTGTTTCCCGGTGACTCGGAATGGCTCAGTTCAGGCTCTGCCAGCCCCGGGCCAGCCCCGGCACCGTTCCCGGGGGGGGACCCGCATTACCCGCCGGGGAAGAAGGAAGGCAGCGACCCTGGGGTGCCGCATTTCCACCCCCCCACCCCCCTCCAGGGCCGCACCGGGCAGGGTCCCTGTGTCACCCCCCCCCTCGGGGACACACCGGGCAGGGTCCCCGAGTCCTCCTCCACCAGCCAGGTCTCCGTGTCTTCCCCGGGGCCGCGGGGGGCATTGTGCCCGTGTCCCCCTCCCAGGGCCATACCTGCCCAGGTCCCTATGTCTGT